GGTATTTCATTTTAACTTGCACTTTGCACTCTCCAGCCATCTGTCTGCCTTCTCATCAAATCATCCTTCAAGGAAGTATCATGCTAAACCTCCCCTGTACTGCCTGGCTTTTTACAGGAGACAAAACATGTTAAAATGGGCACATGGCCAGGTAGCTTCTGCTTTTGCCTGCCAGCAGCAGCCCTTCCTGGGTGATGCTGGAGATCACTGCAGGTGAGACAGAACAGAGACACAGAGCTTTTGGTGCCAGCAACCACCAGAAAGACAGAGAATCTGAGATGGAATGGTGTTCTAAGGGGTTGGGGGGGGGGGTGTAGCTCCTCCATTTGAGAAGCTTTCTCTCATGAGAAGGAGCTTTCTCCCTATCTTAAAGGAGGAGTCAAAAAGCCACCAATTCAGATGTGTACTTCTAGTTCTGCTCATGACTCTATGTGATATTAAATATGGGTTTAATCTCTTCTGATAGATGCTAAATTTTCAGATGAGAGTGATATGTTATTGTTCTTTATCTAAAGGCCTTAGATTTCTGCAGATAACTCCTGTTAGCACCAGTGTTGTGCAGTGTTCAAAATTTAAGCAAGGTTTCTCCTTACAAATTAAACTGCTTCAGGAAAGAAGATAATATTTTAAAAATAGGCCTTAATTAGTAGGCTGTTGGTCCTGTTTCACAAATGCATTATTATGAAAAGTAGGTAGGCAGGAGAGATCATTAAATCTGAGAAACAGTCTAGGATGGCTTCTCTTGGTGTCCCATGAGTCTGTCCATAAATGACCATGAAAAGCAGTTGTTTGCTATAAATCCCTGGTCACATCTGCAGCTTGTCACCAGAAAACATGTTATTGGATCAACCACGTAGGTCCTTCCAGCTCGGAAGAATTACTGTGGCAGAGGAGGGAAAAATGTCTTGCTTTGCCTTGCCAGGCTCAGGGAATGGAGATGGGTGAGTTCTGCTGGCTGCAGCTCACAGCAGTCAGAGACACACAGTGACCTGCAGGAAAGCAGGTGTTGTCTGGGACTTACAGTCAAATATTCCAAAATTCCGTTCCTCTGACACCTACCTTAATTCTTAATACTGCACCTTGAAGGCAGACTTGGTACAAAATTTACCTTGGCTTTGTCATCACAGTGGCTTGATGGTATTTGGAATTAGAAAAAGTGATGCAGGGATTTAATGCTAAGCCCTCCCAGTCTCTCCCAATGTCCTCTCTTTTGTTTGGGAGCCTGATCAAAATGTCTTCAAACAAGCACTCTCTAATCCTTGTTTACTTTTGTTTCAGGTTTCCTTTGACCTTTATAAGCATTGTAATCTGATCTTAGTTTTCACATCCATTTCTTTACTTCCTTAACTTCAGTAATTGCTATGCCTGATTTGTGAACTTCGTACAGTTACAAGAGCAATGTTTATGTCTCTTATCTACAGCAAATAACAAGCAAGGGCTGAACAATCCTTCTGAACCCAGGTGGGGACAGATAGCTGAGGCATGGGCAAGTTGTACCTCTCTCCTGTGGCTTACAGGTTTAGAAAAAAGTTGTCTTTAATTGACTTTGTGTGTAAAGGAGAAGGAAAAGGGAAGGCTCAACCAGAAAAACAGCAGAGTCAAACTGCTCTAATTACTTTTTTTCACTGACAGCAGCAGCTCATTTCCCCAGAGTGAGAAGATGGATACAGGCAGGAAATCTGCCCTGCTGGGAGGAGCTGGCCTGCTCCTGGGCACTTGGCTATTCGTGGCCTGGGGAGCTTCACCAGCAAGGGAGGTGCTTTCTGAACCTGGATAAGCCTGGAAGGGGGGGCATTCATGGTGGGAAGCTGAAGAAACTGTAGCAGCACACGAGGGCTCCTGAGGCCAAGGCTTTGTTACTAAACATGCCTGGGAATATCCCCACGAAACAAAATTCCAGTGGAAATGTCAATTTATTGGACCCAACTGTCTCCTCCAAAACACAGTTCAAGGAGCTGTGGCGGAGACCAAGGAAGCCTTTTTACCCAGCTCTTGGACTCCTGGCCAGGCAGCCCAGGGTCTGGGGCAGACCCTCAGCACAGGAGCAGTTTCTAGGCTGGGATCTGGGGAGGCAGCCACGTCAAAGACTCCATGGTCACACTGAGACAGAGACGTGATGGTTCAAGGAGCCTCAGGGGCGAAGGTGAGCGTGCAGTGCAGTCACACACTTCCTCTGGGTATCCCCTTCTAACACAGTCTCTTGGGATGGAGGGCTGGGGAAATCTTAGGTTGCTTCCCTTTCTTGCATGGTGCTTGTTGACTTGTTCAGTTGGTCAGGCTAAACTCTTTGTGAAGTAGGAAGCTCCCCTCTGTGTGGACACAGATAAGTCCACACCAAGTACTGTAAGACAATAATATTTCTAACCTTTTCTGTTCAGTTTGGCAATACCTGTTTGTAGTCAGTACCAGAATATAATGTAGTGCAGTCTTTGCTGGATTTACAGTGTGGCTGGATGCATTCTTTCTGAGATCTCCCAGACTCATCAGATAAGATAACTAAGCTTTCAGTAGGATGTTTATTGAAGCAGAAATGAGTAAAGTACTTAACAGTGTGTGGTTCAGTTTGAAAATCAATACCGACAATATTGAGCCAGAAGAGGGGCTGCTAATACTGTATGTCTGCATCAGCAAGATATGTAAAAAGTGTGTCCACGTAAATTTACCAGGAAGCATTTAAAAAAATCAATAACTAGAGCATTAAGGCCAGGTTTACAGGAAATTACAGGAGAACATTCAGGTTGGCACCACAAAATATCGAACACTGAGATGCAATGGCAAGGAGCTGTCTAAGTTCAGAATCCTCAGGAGTGGTCTTCAGAGCTGCCAGCCCCTTGCAAATGGTCCAGATGGGGAAATGCCTCCTAAGGTCAAGAAAATGAAAAGAGACAACAATCAGATATTCTCAGAGCCACCTATTTCTGGATTTATTTCAGTGTACCAAGACACAAACCTGTCACGTTTTTAAACCTAGCAGAACTGTACTGAACAGTTATAAACCCCTGTGGAAATCTGAGGGGAGTGGCTTTGACTGGACCTGCCCAGATCTGCTGGGGTTGAATTGTCTTCCAGTTATTTGCTGTTGTCCATTTTTGTCGAACTAAGGCCTTCCTGTGTTCCTTTCAGGACGAGCACAGTTAAAGCTGAGGGAACCTGCAGTCACTCATCTAGAATGGGATGAACTTTAAAGTCCCTTCCCACCCAAACCATTCTATGATTTATTTTTCTAACAGCCAAAAGTGTGCAGCTGAGATGACAACAAACTCTTGTTTTTTCACATTGAATCCTAACCAGATGGTGGAAAATACAGTGGTAATTTAAATAGAAATGAGACAATCCTGCCCATTGACAGGACATCCTTGGAGTGCCATGAGCTGGGAGGCAGAAAACACTTCCACCATTAACAGAGATCTGAAATTCTAATTGGAGGTGACCTGCATACTTGAGTTTTCATCATTTCCCTTCCATTTTGTAATAACAGTATAATTCAACAGTTCTACTGTCTGCTTAAGGTATTATGTTATCATCATCAATGATAGATGCAAGGCATGGTCCTGAAGCATAATTGCATCAATATTGCTCACATACTTCTCAGTGGATGCAGGATTGAGTGAGCAAAAACAAACACCTTCTGTTTTGCCTACCCCAGGCACCATAGCAACTGAAATGCTGTGCTTAAAATTATCATTGGTTTTTCCTCCTGTCCCTTTGTTCCATATGGTGCAGCCTGTCAACTATCTTAACATCCAGTTCTGTGGATGCCAACTATCAGTGTGTAAGGAAATGAAATGTGCCCAAGATTTGATGGCTGATGCTGAGTTCCATGAGCTGTCTGCTCTGTTGCTTGGCATGCCCTGAGCCAGCATGTCCATGGCACAGCACAGCTTTCTGTGTGGTGAGCTGTGCCCTGACCCCCATGGAGGGAAAGATACTGCATTGCCATGTGCTGGTAGCGCTGGGCAGATAATGAATACAATAATGCCAGGTTAAGTGAGGAGCTGCCTATTATAAAATAAAAATAAAAAAAAAGCTTTTCTTCTGATCAGACCATGCCTGGAAGAAATTGAAGAGTTCCTTCTCTGCAATCCAAATCCTCACAATTCTCTCGTTGCACCCCCAGCTCTGATCCTGAGATCTGATATTAAAGGCAGCACAGTGCAGCAGCAGTGTCCTGGCCAGCAAGCCAGGAATTGGTCTCCAAATGGACATTGAAAACCCCAAGTCTGCTGTAGGGTGTGCTGGTACATTACAGTGTGTGTCTCTCATCCCAGACAATTCTCAGGTTGTCCGTAAGTCTGCAGTAGATGAGAGTTCAGTATTTGTGTACCATGCATGAAAAAAGGCAGGGGGAAGGCTTATCGTGCATGAATAACATGATTTGGATTCACTGAAGCAAAAATGGTTTTCATCTACAAGAAAGGTAATTTCATTCACTAGAGCCATTGTGCTACAATTTTACAACAGGATTGAGAGCCTTTTTATTGACCTTCAAATCAATTGTGTTGTTGCTTACAAATTGGTGCAAAACCACCCAATGACATTTATGGCTCTCCTACATCAGTACATGTGAAATGTTGATCTGCATCGTTGCATATTTGTTTAATCAAGCCAATATTTCACCTGCATCATTGGAGTGATAATGTGATGAGAACAAACTCAAATTACTGAAAATGATCAACCCATTCATTTCTGATCAAAGAGCTAGCTGAGGGATTTAGTCCTTTTTACACCACCCAGAGATTCATTCTCTTCTCTAAACATTAGATTTTGCAGAAAGAAAATAAAATCTCCACTTTAGGCAAAACCATCTTTTGACACCACAGAATTCAGTTGCAACTTTCAGCCTTCAGTCCTTGAGAAGAGCTGGTAGAATTGGCTACAGAGATCACGTTGCTTCCATGGATTTTTCGAAACCTCTGCTTCATTTGCCTTTCTAAGGACTCAATGTAGAAGATCTATCTTGCTTTCTTCAAGTCAGGCAATCATCCCTAAATCCTAAGGAAATGGACATCTCTGGCTGTGCCTCAGTAAGGAGATCAAATGCAACTGTGCGCCGCCTCAGGGAGATAGAGTTCAACAGTTCCTCAGGTTTGGATGATACTACTTTGTACTTTCTGCTGGAGGAATTGTCTCTCACCCCATCAGGCACAAACATGAAGATGTTTTTAATCTCTCCAGTCATCTGCCTCATGGCAGGTGTCCTCATCATTCCTACCATCTTATTCGTGATCTTCTCTCGGTTTAACATCCGTCAGGAAACAAGGTACATGCTGCTGGGAAATGCTCTGCTTTCTGATCTGATCTACCTGTTGTTCTACACCCTGTCGGCTGCTCTCAATGCAGCACACCTAGATCTCCCAAAGGAAGCTTGTGTCCTCCTGTTATTTCTGCTGGCAGTGGCTTACTGTGGAGGATTGTTCACAGCTGTTGCCATAGTCTTGGACACATACGTAGCTATTTTGTTTCCTTTGCGCTACATCACTATTTTGCCTCCTTCACGAACTAAAAAAATCATAGTTTTACTATGGATGTGTTCTGGAGCTTTCCCTGGGATTTTTTTCTTGGTGCTATGGAGCACCCACACCTTTGTGCCCTGTGTCCTGGAAACGTGCTCGGTTCCAGTAATACTAATATTAACTCTGAACGGGACTGATGCTCTGAAACTCTGTTTCTGGCTTTCTGCCATGGTTGTCTTTCTCTGCCTGTCTGTAATATTTTGTTGCTATGCTATTTTGTATTTTAAAACCAAACATTCGGGTATATGGGAGAGCATCTGCTCCAGAGCCAGTGTAACATTCTTAATGCACAACACTGTGTTGTTTTTTTACTTCTTTCCACTCTTGGCCCTTTTTGTGGAATCATTCTTGTGTGTTAATGTTCTCATCAAACTGCAGACGGGAATCTTGGTCTCCCTGACAGTCTGCAATGTCCTGATGATTATTCCTAAAGTTTTGTTCCCTTTTCTGTATGGGCTTCGATACAGAGAGATCTCAGCCTCTCTCAAATCCATTGTCAGAAGGAAGCAGCTTCGCATGGTGTCACCTGCTCCACCACCATCCTGAGCCAAGGCAGAGCACAGTCACAGCAGAGGAGTTGTCCTTACCCTGTTATCATGCAAGACTGATGGAAATCACTCAGCTTCTGAAGAAGTGGAGAAGAAGTGATCAACCCATGGTAGAGAAGACATGGGTTGAGCACTCTGCCTCCTCGGTGCCAAAAGGCGACAGATCTTTCATTATGTCATGGTTGAGAATACAGAAAATGCTACCCTCGATGAAGTTACAAGCTTTGTTCTGATGTGAAAGGCAGAACCTTTGGGAGGAGATATTGAACCAAGATCATTTTCACCCACCTGTTGCAAATGCCTTTCTGGAAAAGAAGAAAATTAAAAGTTTTGTGAAGCAGAGGGGGTAACCACAGGTCCCTTAACAGCATCTCTTACGGCAGAGGATCCTTAACTAAACGTGCTCTGAACAGAACAACTGTTTCTTTCATGCACAGTGTATTCTTGCAAGGTTGGTAGCCAATGTCCTATTCTTTGAAACATGACCTGAGAGGTGCCTCTGGAAACTGCTGCACCCAGCGAAAGGCTGTGCCTCAGCTTGTGCAGTGTGCTGGTGTGTTTGCTGCCTTATGGATTCCGTCTGGCAATTGCAAAACACCAGAGTTTTTTAAAATCTCTATCTGGTGGGAGTCACCTTTGATCAGTGCTTGCTGGACAGCCCAGCACATGACAGTGCCGGGGGTTGCAGGGATGGATGGGCTGCTGGGGAGGGAAGCTGAGCCGGAGGCAGCGGCCGGCATTCCCTCATTCCCTGCCTGCAGGGTGGTGTCCTGCTGCGCTGGTGCTGGAGGAGCCTGGAGCAGCCCAGAGCCCCGATTCCTGCTGAGGCTGCACTGAGGTGACCTGGCCAAGGCTGGGGCAGCAGCTGGGGCAGCAGGGCAGGAGCAGTGAGGCGCCAGGCTGGGCACAGCTGTACCCACAGCATGGCTCCGGCAGGAACCCGGGGCGAGGGACTGAGCATGAACACCACGTCTGATCCCTGCTGAGGCGTCTCCCAGCTCTGCCTTCCAAAAATCTTCTCTAGCAGCCTGATCCCAGGTTACAGCTGCACTGCCTTAGAGCTGCTGCTGGGTACCTGCCACTAAAGCCTTAGGAAGGCCAGGAGGAAAGGCTGCAGAGCCAGTTGGTGCATCAGGGGCAAGATCTTGTAAGAGCCTTTTGGATTTTCCAGATCAGCCCCCTACCTCTAGAGGACAAGTGAAACATATTTCTGACTTTAAAGAAACCAAAATTTCATTAGGTATAAACATCAGTATGGGAAATGTAAGTTGCCGTTCTGTTCCTTGGACTTGATAAAAGAGTTCTGTGTTTCTAAAGATATTACTTTTAGAATTCGTTAGAATTTATGTAAAAATACATTGGGCTTAAAAGAAAAGGTCCTTGATTTCACTGTGCAATATTTCCCTTATGTGCAGTCTCTCTTCACCTTCTGTTTGCTTGAAGTTATACACAGAAAGTGCTGAATGTGGCTGTTGGCTATTTCTCACTCGTCTGAAGAATTCCACTAAGTGTGAGCCAGGAGGAGATCGGTGTCTGGTTGCATGGAATGTTTTTGGCAAGGGAGCCAGTTTGAGTGGTTCCTGCTGATCTTCTCCCGTCATTTCCAAACTGCTTGTTACTCTCCTCACATTGCAGTGCCTGCTCTCTCCTGTTTGCTGATGCAACTGCTTCTAGGGTTGCAGGTTAAAAATATCCTTTCAGAGAGAACTGGTGTTGTTTTTATTTTAACTGAGATTATTCCAGTGATCTGCTTTATAGGATGTTCTGCAAACAGCTGCATCAGCACTGGTGAGGGGGTAACAAATTCCAGTACAGAGGTGGGGGAATGAGCAGGGACATCTTAGAGAGGCTTTGCTGCTAAGGGACACTTCTTGTGTAAGAAGCATCTCTAAGGCAAAGTTGTTGCAAGTGAATAAACTGTAATATTGCATATTTGCTTTAACTGTGGTCCTGTGCTTCTCAGTACTCTTCAATAAAAGGATCTAGAAGTCACTTTTTACTGGATTCTTCTATTTTTCTCCAAGATGAATGTACCATAGACATTTGTCACAGAAACTGTGTTTGTATAAAGACTTCAGATTGTCTGTAACAGGGATCTTCCATAACCCTAGGAAGGATGGGGAAAATGGCTGCATACTAAATCAGGTGCTTTCTGCTAAGTCCCCTTGGCATGTGCAAATATCAAGAATGGAAGAGGTACTTGTAAATCCCCAGGCTGCTCATATCTTGGGCCGATTTTTATGCCTGTGCCCATTGACAAAGATGCTGGTAACTTAGAGTTTGTTTTGTCCATGTAAAGTCCTTTCAAGTTTACCTATACTGGAAATTTTCATGATAAGGGGTGAAGATAACTGTGTAACTAGTATAAGTGACCATAAGTGACTTTGCATAGCTGCACGTTTATAGTGCTTGATCTTCCTGCCAATTATGAAGTTAATCTCCTGGACAGGATTCTGTTGCCAATTCTATAGTTCTTTCTTACATACACATTCCCTGGATATATTTAGATACAACTGGAAGTTTGGTAACATAAAGGACATGGAAAGACAGAGCAAGTGAATTTGGAATTGTGTCAAGTTTGTGTGTATATGAAGTCTGCCCACAGTGACCAGGCAAACAAAACATTGCTTTGTGGAAATGACCTTCTAAGAAAGATTGTTGCAAGTTGATATTTTATTAATCCACATTAAAGTGGTTTAACATTAGATAGGTAAGTTTTTCTTAAGTGACTGCTTGTAAACAACATCTTCCCAGGGAATATTACTGTGCTGTTTGGTACAAAAGCAGTATATTACAGAGTGTATAGAGGATACACACCACAGCCCTGAATCATTTGCCTTTGGGGATTTCCCCAATCTATCTGGATAGGACCAAAGGACTCATTAGGACAACATAACAAGCACAAGGTTCCTGTAATGCTTTTCATACATGCCTTGAGTTTTGTCTCAAAGATTGTTAGACTTCTGTATTTTCAAGAACTTCATGGCTGTAGTGATTACCAGCCTTGTAAGGATGTCTCCACAAAAGCTCTGGAAATTCAAACTGAACCTATTTACCAGAGCCCAGCAATCGACCTCTCCCTGGTCATATAAGTGAACTTCTTGGATGTCACTGTGCCAGCCCAGCATTTTAATTTAAAGTGAAACGGAGAGCAGTTGGCTTTAACGTGATTTGGCAGCTGGGGGCAGTAATCCTTTAATGAATTGCAATACCATGAATCACTAGAAGTATTCTAATTTATAGCCTAAATATATTCATGCTCAGTTTTTCCCCTCTTTTCTTGTGCCAACATTGTCACTACGTTTAGCACTGCTCTCCTCCCTCTCTCAGTTGGATTTGCAGTGCAGTTTGCTGTCTGTAACCTGCAGACTGAAGGGAGTCAGACCTGCATTCCAGGGGCTGGGGCTGTGCCATACAACACTGGAGACATAATTACATCAGAGATAGGTCTGTGCCTCCAGTGGGATCAGGTTCAGTGTCAGGAGATACGGAGGATCTCCAGGCAGGTAAACAAGCACAGCTTTGGATTTGGGGTATAGTTCATTGCAACGATTTCAGTAATTATTCAGTAAAACTAATTAACCTCCCACAGTTTCAGTAATTAATATTAGAGTGTCTACGTCTGCTCCATCCCTTGGCTGTGTCATTTTCTACGGGCAGTTGAATACAGCAAGAGGGCAGAAGGAAAGTGGCATTTGCCTGGTTGCACTGGGGGCAGCCCCGAGAGCCTGGGGCTGTGTCCCAGCCCTGCGGAACAGCACCAGCTGCCTCCGGGACGGGTCCGGCGGCTCCCGCCGGGAGACACTGCTCCTTGCTTCGTTAGTCGCTGTTTGTACATAGAGTGTGTTCTTTGGACAGAAACCGTGACTGTGGCCATTCCCTGCCGGAGGGGGTTATGCACGACAGATGAGAGAGAGCCCTTGATAGGAAAAGGAAATTACAAGTTTCCCCGAAACTTGATTTCTGTTGTCTTCTGTTTCCAACCCCACCTCACTGCTGGTAACTGAGGGCCCAGCACTGCTGGTTCTTGCTATTTTTTCACAAGGCTTGTGATTTTTGGCATCTGCATAAAACTACTGATCCTGAAGGTTTTTGTTTTTCAGTATGCTTCGAGTCCTTCAGATTGCAATATGAATCCAAAACGTACAAAGAGCAGGGAGACAAATAAACACAACTCTTCATGCACTGCTATTAAAACGTCAGAATTTTTGAGCAACTCGTGAGTTAGGAGAGGAAAAGGAGCCAAGCTGTGGTTGTGCTGTCTCGTTTGTCAGTGAGGGATGTTTTGGCTCCTGCTTGCCCAAGGTCTGCAGATGTGGCTGGGAAACCACTGCAGAAGAGACAAGAGGCTGTTTTCTGCCTCTGATATGTAGAGTTAAGAATTTGTTTATTTGGACAACTCTTTTCCAACTCAGTGGTTTGTTTTTCTCAAGAAAAAAATACAAGTCTTGCTATGGACATGAAAATCATCAAACAGTTCCTGAGGACTACTGTTTTTTAGGATGATTCCCAGTAGGAAGAACTAGTCAGCCTCAGCAGCTACTATCATTAGTTTTACCAAAGGGAAAGGGGACCCATTCATCCACCTTCTCTGCCCCTGTAGACCTGCCAGTGCTGCTAACCAAGTCAAAGGTGGTAACTGTTCTTCACAAAAACCTTTTGTAACGAAATACTCTTTTTATAGGGTATTTCTTGATGCCTTCTGAAAAGCAGAGTGGGATGGGAGAGTGTGGGCCAGCATGGAAGTGTGAGAAGTGCTCACCCTGCAGAACAATAGGAATGTAAATATGGAAGGGGAGCAATTAAAAAGTAGTTGGAAATGGAAGGACTGTGGGAAAATCAGTGGAAGAAATGGGGGGATAGTCTGGAGTTACAGAAGTAAGTTCAAGGCATGGGGCAAATTGCAGAAGACACAGGATTTCTTGCAGTCTATCTGAAGGAGGGACACAGTGGAGACCTTTTGTAGGGCTGCCACCTGCCCCATGGGCTGTGTCTGCCCTGCTC